ATCAAGACTCAGGTTATCTTCTGACAAAGCTACAACGGTGGCTCACAACTGTGAGCTTTGAAGATACCGTCTGACAAGTCTGCCTTAGCAAATAGAACGGTTAAAAAACCATCAAAACTGACAGAGTGACCGAGAAACAACATTAGGCAATAGATATGGGGACCTCAAAAATTAATAGAATCATGTACACAGAACAAACTGTGTAACAAAAACAAACGACAAGTGCAACATTACGAACGACGTACCGATTCAATATACACAGTTGATAACAAGAGAAGCGGCTGAGCACGGTTTTGCGATGGGAGAAGAAAAGAGACTTCGTGACAAATCTTTCCCGACATTTGAATCTATAACACATAATATTATAAAAAACAAAACAACGCAGCGAACTTAGTGTTTTAAACCGGCCATTACGCATAACAAAGAACAATAAACTGTTTTCAAAAAGGAAGACCTATGGTTAACAATTTTTGCTGGCATCAGACTATCGAAAACGACATACATGCTTCGCAACCTTCGTTCTCCTGACATTTGCCGGCCCCAAGCCCGGATAAGAAAGGAGGAGGGTTGGAGACCGTGGCAAGTCTCAGTAAAATTCAAAAACCTGCCACTCATGTTATTGATGCAATCGAAAATTATACCGGTTCGGTTCGTCGCACTGGTGCCAAGGGCCGCGCAGGCTGTTGGCGGACTGAGGCAGACTGCGAAAAGTCGGCGATCAGAACTTGCTCATTGCCTTCTGCAAGGAGGGTGCGTGGAAGCACAACGACTGACAAAGACCGATGCAAAGACGATGAAGACACCAGTCAGCAGCGGAGTCGCTACCCGTTCTGAACGGAGGAGGCACACAGCGCGACGCCATTAAAGCACGTCAAAAAAGGCTCCACGAGAACGACACCATCAGTGGGAGCTTAAAGTTGGAAAATGGAACATATCCTCACTCAGAGGAAAAGAACAAGAATTAGTTGATGAGGTCACGAAGTACAAACTCGAAATTGTTGGACTCTCATCAACGAAACGCCCATGCTCTGGACTGCTGAACCTCAATGGATGGAAGCCGTTCTACTCAGGCATCGATATCACGACTCGCGCTCAGGCCGGTGTTTGGCGTTCCGAGAGAACCCAACCTTGCCGAGAGAGTAATCCATTGGAAGCCTATCAGCGGAAGGGTGGGAATCCTCTGACTGAAGCCACAACAGGATAAAGCGATGACTTGGTACACGTCTCTGCGCCCAATTTGGAGGGAAAATATGAGACCCTCCTTGAGGAAGTGCCGAATACAGAGTCCTTCATGCTGGTACGCGATTTTAATGCGCACGAGACGCTAAGGTGGAACGGCGTGATTGGGAAAAACGGCCCTAGCAACCTCAACAATAACGGCATGAAGTTGTCACGGTTTTGTGCAAACAACAGATTGTCCATTATGAACACCCACGAGAACTGAGAGTACACCAGTAAACAGGGAAGCTTTTGTGCACAGAAGTCGATGATCGATTTGATAATCGTATCGTCTGACCTAAGACGCTCAGTAATGGATGTTCGTGTTAGAACAGGCGCAGAGCTATCAACCGATTACCACCTTGTTATTGGCACGCTGCGCTGTAAGAAATTGAGTACCATACGAAGATCCGGTGGCAGAAACAACTGGAGAATCAAATGGGAAACATTCTCTTCGGTGGACACGAGAGCGAAATTTGCAAACAACATCGCACGACGATTTGCACAGATCCCAGTGATGACAACTGATCTTGAAACCGAGTATAGCACTTTAAGAGCGGCATACTCGAGGCTGCCGCCGAGTGTTGCGAATATAAACGGGTTGGCCTACCGCCTGGACGTCAGCAAAGATCTTCACGGTGGACACGAGAGGTACAGCCGGCAGTTAAACAGAAGGAAGCAGCGTTCAAGAAATGGCTTGGAAACAAACAGCCTTCTAATCGCGTGCGATATGTCGAGGCACGCAAGGCGGCAGCCATAGCAGTGGCAAAAGCCAAAGCTGATTCCTGGGAGAAGTTCGCTGAGGAGTTGGAGTCGAATTTCCACGCAGCAAACAAAGTATTCTGGCAGACCATGCCCCGGCTCCGAGGTGAAAAGACGGGTAGTCTCACGATCCTGAAGTACAGGTCTGGACACCCTCTTACCAAGGATGATGACATTCTTCGGCGATGGAGGGAGTACTTTGAGGAACTCCTTAGCCTCGCGCAACCGCAGGAAGACTCGTCTGTAGCGTAGAAGCGTACGGATATTACTGTCTCTGTAGATGAAACTGCACAAGCTGTGAAAAGCTTGAAATACGGAAAGGTTACTGGAATTGACGAAATGCGCCCTGAGATGATCAAGGCATTAGGCGAACGGCGTGTGGCGGCTAAGACGTGTCTGTCAAACTGTGGTGACTGCGGGAAAGGCACCAGCGGACTAGAACAAATGTCTCTGTTCCGTATAACATTCATCAAACAAAGGCAGAACACGGGTGAATATTCCTGGCAAGGGCTATTTCTCTCTGAACCCAAATATTTGACAGGTAACAAAAACATTGGTTGAATGCTACCATCCCCGAACACCATTGCGTTCGACATACTTGCAGTGCTCGACTTCTACCATGAGTTCCTTCTGTATTCCACTGATATCATGAATTATGACTCAGATCAGCCCCTGTCGCATGGGTTCGTCATAATTTTAAAATTCCGACCGTTAAAGAAGAGACCGGCCTTCGCAGCTGCGCAGTAAATAGAAACCTGTCAGGTGACAAAACGCTCCCCCACGTACCATT